TCAGTTAGAACTGGGAGGCTGCTGAAAACAAAGCAAAAATATGCTTCTGAAAAATCAGGAAACATAGTAGAGATGCTATCCTTGGGTTAAGCAAGAAGGGCAGAGGGCACAGATAAGACCACATTTTCCACATACATATTGAACAGCTAAGCAGGAACAGCCATTTTTCAGATAGCACCTTCTAAAGTTGTAAAGACACAGCAGGCTGGGAACCAAGGCTTGGGCAGCAGTATTAGTCTTCACTCTCTGCTTTAAAAACTGTTACTTCTCACTAAAGATTTCTTAAGGCACTCGCACAGCACTAGCACCCTAGCTAGGGATCCCTAAATCTGGATTCAAGGAACCTGGTCTTTAACCCTTACCTCAGCCAGTACCCTGTCAGATAAATCACTTTTCTTCTGTGCCTTACTTTTCCCTGTTACGAAGCAGTGAAAGTTCACCTCTTCTGCAGAGAAAAAAAAAAAAAATCAAGATCTCCCATGAAAACTAGAGTTAAAGTTGTAAGTATTTTTACACATAGCATCAAAAGTAAGCTTACTTAACTATTAGCGCTACCATTAGCATAAACAAAAATTTTGTCTGTTGAAGAAAGTTTGTTCTTTTAAGTTAGCAATCAGGAAGTTATTTGATGCTGTATCAAACACTACTAGAGTACTGAGATGAGTACACAAACCTCTGGAAAGAGGAAACAGAGGTATACTGTTACAGATGCATCGTTTAACTGTCTCCTCTCCTTCCCCTCAGTTTGCAACAGCTGTGTCAGGGCATATACAAAAGCTGTGCTCACTGTGCAAAGCTAAAATGAATAAAAGCTAGAGGTTCTGAGACTGATGGGAGGTGCCCATGTCCTCTTTATCATCCCACATATACTGAAAGGAGGGGCATGCATACACTGAGAGATCTAATATTCCTCTCCAGTACTGCATTGTGCAGACTGTTTCAGCAGTAGAGCAGGGAAAGTGCCAGCAACAAGATGAGACACAAGAGTGCTCTGCGGGTTCAACAATAGGTAAGTGAAAGCACAGCACAAGATGGCATCTTCTGGGGGAGAGTGAATGGATTACGAGGTATAACAAACAAGGATTAGAGTCGTACCTAGGGGATACTCAATACAGGCAGGTCATCTCCATTACCACTCACCTTTCACATAACACAAGAACTATTACAGTTGCCACGTTACCCCAATGTGTTACCCCAGTGCCGACACTGGAGCAGAATTCAACCTGTGACATGGATTACTTTGGTTATAGCTCAAGAACGACGCCATCAGTTCTGCATTAGTTTTCAGAAACGCGTGCCCTGCATGAGCATAAGGCAGTGCAAGATTACCCTTCTTCCCATAACTTCTTTAAAAGGAACTACAATACTCCATTCAACATGATCCCCAAACTCATTCCAGTTTACCTCCTTTGATATTAGTTCTACATATTTGGTATTATTCAAAAGCAATTTTTTTTAAAACAAGTCTTACTAAAAAAGCAAGAAGACAGTATGAAGTATATCTATACTCTTTTTAAGATAGAAGAGCCACACAGCTGACTACACCATACTATGGGGGTGCTAAAACTAGTGATTTTTATTTCCCTGCTTTGGATTACAATACTCTGCACTATCACCATTGAAATGACTTCTTATATAATGAATATAAACTATGAATATGCCATCTGATTATTCACTACATGGCACAGTTTAGTTTTTTTAAAGGCCTGTATATCAGTTATTGGTATTTACAAAATACTCATTTATAAACAAGTCTATTGGAAGAAGTCTTATATAAATTGATGCTCATGTCCTCTATTTCTTCACTGACCGCTTTCGGGCTCTATTTGTATCAAAAATGCAAGTGAGAGCGTAAAGACATGTTCAGTTGAATACAGGAACTTATTACACACCTTAGAAAAGTGAACTCAAATGCCAACATTTAGTTTGAAGATACACAGGGATTACAAGATTAGAATCCCACTGGCTTGCTGGGAGGATTCAGCAAGATAACTACAAATTACTTAGAGGGCTAGTGTCAAAAGGACTGCTGCACTTATTTAGCCTCTGCTCTAGATTACTGACCCACTTATGAAGTGCTCAGCACCCCTGCTGTGCCGAGCCAACACCCACTCCATCTGTCTGCCTCTGCTTTCTCAGAACCTCTATTAGGCCGCATAAGAAGTTGTGTTAATTACCACATGAGCAGCTTGAATAGTACACATAGTTATCAGCCTTACCTAGTATGTGGTCACCTTGACAGACAGGGCAGAAACAGAACAATTTCAATCGCAGCAGGATTTTATATAAATGACAGGGTAAGTACATGCAAATTTCTGAACAGGGAATTTTATTCAACTTTTGGCAAAGTTTCTTTCAGTTTTGAGAAAAGCTTGTGTGTGTTTAGTTGTTTTAGATTTTTATGATGAAAGGGTATACTAGAATTAAATATTATAATCGAACTCTGGAAATCTCTAATGAGACAAGAAATTTGTGAAACTACAAGTGAAACTTCTGTTGAGGGAATAATGCAACAGCTCCAAAAAGAGGCATACAGCACTGGTCAATACCCGCTCTTAAACAGTACCAGCGATAAAGACTGTAGCTAGTTAGAAAAACAAACACACACCCACCCACCCACACACCACACCCCCCCCCACACCCCATCACACACAAAGAACAGAAGAGCATTTGGCAAATTAGCTCAACTGTCATGTCAGAATTGCACCTTAGCAGCTTTGCACCCCAAGCTTCTTGTTGATTAGGAAGAAAACAGTTTCAAATTCAGTATCTTTTTATTTTTCCCTGCTGACCTACAGGTCTTTGGGTCATCCGCTGAAGTGGGTCTCAAACAGCAGTTCTATTGACTTCCTAAACTCAAGAACAAGAATCTCCGAAAAATCATTACAGTACTCAGCTGCCGTTTGTTCATTCTCAGGCACCCAGACTACCGCTGTCAAAGTGAAATACCACCAACAGTCCAAAAGCCAACTATGAAACTAAAGAATTTTGTGGAGCACTGCTGGCAGCCCTGATATCTAGCCCCTTAACATTAAAGCCATTTCTCGGTTTAAAATTAAACCTTGTGTAATAGCCAACGCCACTGGAAGAGCTCTCTAGCTACCAGCTTCTTCCTAAGGCAGTCAAGAAAGTAGTAAAATCTAGGTCCAGTCCTTTTTAGAGCTGACTCAAGGATAGGCGAGAACAGTATGCCTCAGCCCAGCAGGAACTGCTGATTGCAACGTGGAGACTGCGTCATAAAGGGTATAATACATCTCTGCATTCCGTTTTAAAAAGTTATTTACTATTACTATTGTACCACAAGAGGTCATGCAGGCAGGAAGAATGACTTGAACACACGAGACAGGTGCCCCAGGAAAACAACGATAAATTCGCATACTGTTTTTATCTTCTAACATTGGCTTCAAGACGTTTAGGCAACAGTTCTTCTGAAGTAGCAACATTCATTGGCCGAGCACCCCGGCAGGACAGCTTGAGGAAGCCCAACATTCGGTCAAGAAGTTGGGTACGTGTTTGTATCACGTGAATAGTTGCTCATCATTTTCTATCACATGAAAACTTCTTCCAGTTAAGCGTTCAGTCAGTGTCACGGTAAAGACTTGGCCAAATATATAGAACCATCTCAATGAAATACATATTCCAACAGGTTCGAATCTTAGTCTACCAATCCACACTAAAACCACAAAGCTCTAACAAATATTTCATTTCTGACTGTTTTCCAAGTGGCAAAAGGAAGAAAGCAGAAGGGAACACCAGAGAATTCTGAGACCGCTCTAAAGGGGGGGGGGGGGGAGGGGGGGGAAACACAAGCAGAGCACAGCGTTAGAAGCAAAAGGAGAAGAGAAAAAGAACAGAATTTAAATAGCCATTGATTCAGAGCATAAACAAGATTTTCTCAGAAAGCTATGTCAGTTCTAAAAGAGAATGCTAAAACCATTATTAGATAAAGGCTATAAAACATTTGACATGTGGAAACCATTACTGACACCAGTCAAATCTAGTTTGCGCTATGATTAGTACAAAGTTTAAAAGTATAGCGGGGACCAGCACGCTAATATAGAAGTCAAGCTCACAAAAGGATGTTGCTTCTCTCCCTTAGAAACTATTTTAAGTGTCAAGGAGCTAGGGGGCCAGAATATTCCTGTGTCACAAGATCCTGTAACTTTTTCATAACAAGAAAAAAGAGACCTGTGAAGTGATTTGATACTTATGTTGCACACTTAATGAGCTTACACATGCATCTTAGTGGGAATTTTGTATAACATGAATCTAAAGTACATCACATTAATACTTACAAACATAACCTCTCGCACAGCAGTTGCTATGAATTAAGCTGAGAAAGTCAAAGGGGTAGAATGCAAGTCGTTCACCTAAATGTATATACATATAAAGGAGCAGAAGAGAATTCCTAGAAATACTCCAAGTTATTAAATGAAAAGCACTTTCATTAACCAATAACAAATAATAATTACAGTAAATAAACTGGTCTGCAGGCAACCTGCCTCCAAAGATAAGATTTCCCTTCCAAAGAGACAAAGGATGCAGCTTGTACAACTTAAATTAAGGTACCATGTACAACTGAAAAATAATTAGATGACTGAAGTGTTGACCAAGGAAAAACAAGTCAATTTTTTTCAAGTGAAAGTGTAGGTTCAAGTAAGCCCCTCCAATTATAGACAGGGTTATCCAACAGAAGCATAAGGCAGTGCTACAAACTAGAAGGTATGCTAGGCACCACCTGGATATATATAAAGTGTACTAAGTGGCACTGCAAAATGAATTTAAAGTTATTACTAAAAATGTTGATTTTACAAAGCATGTGATTCAGTTGTGAGAGCTGAAGCAAGCACTATTTAAAACCAAAATAGATTTTAAAGATTCTTCTCCAAAAAATTCAAAAGCATGCAACTGATTTTGTTTATTTATTCACAAGATAGCCTAAACATCCATCTAGTCATTTCTCAATTGGTTATAACAATTTCAACCACAACAGCACTTACCTTGGTATCGTCACACATTTTGTATTGCAATTTTGAGTGGTAATTGCCTTCTCAAGCTCATCCAGCTGTCCTGTTTTCTTTAGCTTCTTGACCAAGCTTTTCACTGCTTTTTCACACCATTTTTCCTCCTGACCATTCTGCTCACCACCACCAGCCCCTCCAGAGCCACCAGCAGATTTTTTCCACCCCAGAAGTCTCTTCACAACTGGTGGAGTGAATGGCAATATGGACGACATGATTTTCACCAGACAGAACACTCAGCACGCAATAAATTAGAGATTCCCGTCTGAGCCCTAAAAACACAAACCAAAATAGACACATTAGCAGTGAGGTTTTACATAAGACAAATACCTTGCTAGGAACTTCATTACCAAACACCATAGGACATAGCCTCCCCAAATAAGCCAGATAATAGTTCAGGACTACTCTACATCATGGTTAGTTATTTCACCAATGAGATTTACGTGCAAGTTTTCTGCACCTCATCCCTTTCCTTCATCAGCTTGTGCAAATTAGTCGACAAGTTTACTGTTGGATTAGGTATTTTATTGTTCCTCAAATCTTTCCTGGCTAAAGTCTACTCACTTCAGTAACTACAAGAGTTAAACTTAGTCTAGCTTTGCATCTAAATTAGTTGATTTCAGTCATTTGTGAAAATTTTAATAAATGATTGACAATTTGTAAATACAGATATGCATGTTCTGCCTGGCTCCAAATTAACTTACCAAGCAAAACTATTTCGAACATCATTTAGTCATTACGGCTTGACAAAAGTCTTACAACAGCCAGCCATTTGGCAAGCCTTTTGTCTCGTTTGTCATGATTTAAATAACTATCAATTTTTGTTCCACTAGGGACATCAACTGGAATTCACTGGAAATTTTCAAAGTTTGGGGTTAAGCTTATTTTCTACTTCCAATTCAGAGCACAATGGCCTACAGATAATGAATCTTCCCAAGTGACATCACTTGAAATCATCAGAAGTCTTTCAAAATTCTTTGCAGGCTATTTAACTTCTGAGTTTTCAGGTACCTGAGCTGTGGAACTGTTTGTCTGTTTTCAGTTTTGACTGCTTTTCATTCACTATCTACCACCTGATCAGATTGTCTATATAAAATGAAAGATTAGAAGGGATGCTATGTTCAGCTTTCACTGCAAATTACACTTCAAATCATTCAAAAGAGAAATAACAGCCAGTAAAAAAACTTCATGGTTTTGCAGCTTCTATGAGGGTAGCAGCTTCTATTAGGGTAGCTTTAGGTATTAGAATATAAGCCCCAAGTCAGCTGCATTATTTTGGGTAGATAGCTATAATACCTTGCCTGAGGACATCACGATCCTGTGGACAAAAGTAGGGCGTTAAAGCCAAATGTCAAAACCTACTCTTATTCCCAAGCAGCAACTGGGCATTTGAATTTCAGAAAGGTACCTCGCTTCCCAACTTCAAAACCCATAGCTGTATGAGTTAGTTCAGTCAGCTGAAAGATCTTGCTTTAGCTAAGAACTAATGCTACACCTTCAAGCTACTTGATCAGAGCTTTCAGGGTACCTTACATGTCTCTCCATCCTGCAGAGGCACCTTTCTCACTTCTATTCAAAATATACCAGTTTCATTTTATTAAGATTTCCCCCATCTGCAAAACAACACTCTTGATTTAAGATATTTAAGGCTATAATATTCATGACTGAGTTACACTTTGTCTTACCTTAGCCGTTTCAGTGAGAACCAAAAAGTCAACAAAAGATACATTGTATTAATAACTTAAATTTGTAAATTTTTGACCTGCACAAAATAGAACATTCCACAGAAAGGCTGTTTCATTTTCAATTAAATTATAACCTTCATAAAATAGCTTCTGAGACCACTTGAAAATATTACTGAAGCAAGAAGTACAACTGTGTGGGCTCCAGGAGACAGAGGGTTCTGATTAACAGGCACTCAAGATAAACACCGCTAATTTTAGGGAAGAGACTCAAAATAATCCATCAACCTTAAACCAAGAGTATTCATTTTCATACAAGACGACAATACAAGAAGAACTTCAATATTTTAACATTACTGGAAGAACAGAAGAATTATGCCCAATTGTGTTCAACCTGATCGCAGGTCAGGTTTTGTAGCCTGCAAAACCATTATACTGGAGTCCTCGGTGCTGCAAATAAGAAAAATAAATTCAATATCCAACACTTTAAAATCAAATTCTGAATAGGACACTCAAGCTACAGCCTCACATGGAACTAAGCCAATGCAACAGCTTTTTGCCACGAGAAATCCAGGTCTTGTTTCCTCCTTTCTCCTCACCTCCTCCTCTGCACTAGCCCTGATAGGTGCTAGACCTTTCTACGCAGACTCAGCTGGCTAACCTAGCAGAAAATTATCAAGTTTTTTTGCCGAGTTAGTTTTCTTCCAGGTTAACAAGTTGTATCAGCTCACACATGGTACCGTAAGTACCAGCGTTGATACCTGACAATTTATAGAAGCATGGATGGAAGACTGAGACTCTCCTCCAGCCCCAGCCTCAGCCTTCAACAGTGGTGTTAGCAGTTCACTGCATCTCTTGAATTGCAACCTGAGCATTCACTTTATTATCATTAGATAATTAATTCTAGTGGAAAAGCCAAATTAATCAGTCTTACTCCCATTTCCACCTGTTCTGAACTGTTTGTGGGCCACGCAGTAGAACAAGTCAGACCCTTAACCCAGTACCTCAAGTGGCTTCAGAGACAAAACGGGAGGCTTACGCAGCCTCTGCTGTTTTAAGAAATGCTCACACTAAGCTTCTGAAACAGGAAACTGGACTACATGTTCCAGGTGCGACCTGGAATAGCAGTTGCTCTGAACTCTATTAAAAGACTTCCAACTTTTGAGCAAGGCCAGCATTAGATGCTTCAGAGGCATATGCAAGAAATTCCAAAAATAAACGGAAGGGGGCTATTTTGCCACAAAGGCCACACTAGGAATCGATGGTTTAAAGTCTGAACGCTAATTTCAGCGCTCACAGAAGTAGGCAACTGTGAAGACCAGCACTGATGCTTATGCACACCTCAATTCTCCTCAAATTTATGGAGCTCACTTCCACATAATATGCATACTTCCTGCTCTTTAGGTTCAAATTTGACACCTTTCAGTGCCCCAGAATTTCTTTGATTGTCAGCCTCATAAAATACGTTTCACTAAGGTCTCATTTACTACCAAGACAAACTGTGTATTCTTTCAGGCCTTCTAAAAACATTCTCAATGCATTTATCTAATTTTTCTGCTCCACAATACCCTTTGAGATGAGGTGTCCAGTTTTACAGTATTCTCCCTTAAGACATAACACTGATCTACATATCTCTATACATGTATATAGATATATGATTTTCTGTATTCTCTGGTGCTTTAAAAAAAAAAAAAGCAAATCTGCCTTTCTGCTTCAAATTGACATTGAGTGATCCAACTCTTGCCGCAGGGAAGAGTTCAGAAGCCCCATACATATCCGTTGTTCTTCACATTTGAATTCTTATGCTATTTTGACACATTCAAAAGTGAAAGCCTTCCCATTTTCAAAACTGTCAGTTCAGAACAAAATAATCAACACTTTCCAGATAGTTTACCTATTGTTTTAACTAGTTCCTCTACATACATATTTACTAGTCTAGTTTGCATAGAAGCTGCCAAAACAGGTTTATCTGCTACCCCCATGTATATTAGCTATTTTCACATTAAAACAACTTTTTTTTAAACAAGGGAATATATTTAAGAATCCTTTATTACACTGATTATTGCGCCTTAACAGCTGACAAAAAATAAATATACACCACAGCGGCAGTCTAAGATTCTGGGAAGCTTAAACTAGCTTCTTCCTTCTAGCATGCCAGGTGCCAGCAAGTTTCACCAAGTTATTCCAGTAGTGACCTCATATCGTTAGAGGGCTGAGCAGAGAGAACGTGACACAAGTAGGACAGGACTTCATCCAGCTTAAGACCTCAACCAATTGTGATAGACTCCTGGCAACAGAATATTTCAGCTGGCTTTATTTCTGCAAAAGTTACACTATTCTGCAAACCTAACGGAGGTACTATAAAGTACAAGGCATGTTTTGCTTGAATCCTGAGCAATTTAGATAAATTTAAAATTATGCAAGGACAACGCAGCAATAAGGTAATTAATAAGATATACCCTACTGGGTCAGAAGACTGGTGCATCTGGCCTAGGGCTCTGTCCCCAACAGCAGCAAAAGGATACGCTATTCAAGGAAAGCACAAGAGCTTGGCTGCCTTATGTAGCCCATTCCCCTCCTAACCCCTCATCATCCACAACCATTATAGCAGCAATGTTAGAGGCTACATCCCTACCTATGCCATTTAGTAGCCATTTACGGACTGTTGTCCACAAATTTATCTAATCACTTCTAGACCTGATGATACACTCTGCCTCCACGATCTCTTGTGGCAACCAGCACCAGACGTGTACTGCCCACTGTGTAAAGAAGGACTTTCAGCTGTTTTAACTCGATCTCTTCCTAGTTGCAGGAAGTGCCTCTTGCTCTACTCCTGCAAGCTTTGCTGAAGAGCTGCTTATATTCATCTTGTCCACAAACTTCATGATTTTGTAGATCTGAATCACATCATCCCCACAAATGGGGGACTATCAGCCTTTTGTCACAAACAAAGCATCTGAACATAGCTCATACAGCTCGGGAAGCTCCTATGGAGAGAGGCCAAGCCTGAAAGCTTTATTTCTTCAATTAAGTTACAAGTACCCGAAGATAATGGCAGAGGAACTGATCGAAAGACTGCAGAAGAATTAAATCAGACTACAGTCTATGTTTGCCACTTGTCTTTTTGGTCATATTATCCTAAAGCTACCAACATTATTATTAAGTATAAAATAGAAATCTACACCGCACGAGCAACTCGTAGCTAGAGAATGCAAAGCACATCCATGCTGCTGAACGTCTGGCAGAAGCTCAAACAGAAATCTGCCCCTTCGACTTTCATTCCCTATGGCTTCTTGTATGCACCTCTACCATTTGTTAGCTTGTAACCATGTCCGTCTAGTCTGAGCTACCATGTTTAGACCTACGGATTTATGAATCACTTTGCTACAGCTCATTTTCAACCAGCAAATCCCATTTCAATTCATCACCTATAATTTCTGCCTGCAAGTTGATACAGTAACATCAGGAGTTTTAATTTTTGTTCTTAAAGCATCATCTTCTCATTCACCATCACTGTTGATACTAGCCTCTGTTACTTGCTAAAAAACATTCCTCTACTATTGCTTCTTCCATGTATCCTTTCTTGATCCATAAAAAGGTATAAAATGCTCACCCCCACCAAAAATAATAAACTTTGCCAACACTGCAAGAAATATTTTCACATTATGAAGATGGCTGCAGACTAAATACATGCTAAATCTGTCATAACTCTTCTTCCTGGTGATATAATCTTCATGAATTCGTTGTAGTCCACAGCCAACCATCTCCAAATGCTAACTACCCATTTAAGGCCTTTTTTTAAAGGACCTTGACAACTGTGCTTCCCCATCATTCATTCTTTGCACTGTCTTTCCTTTGCTCATTCTGTTCCACTGAGGCCTGATGTTATACTCAACAATCGGGTCTTTTGCCTTCCTGTGCACTATTTTCACAACATTTCAACATATCAACTGTCTCCCTGTAATTACTCATCGAGTCTCAAGAGCCTTTTCTAAGCTCAACTACAGATGAACTATTAGTATCAAGGCAGAAATGTAAAACAAAGCAGACAGCTACTATTTCATCCCTTTCCATACTCACTTGTGCCTTAAAACTGTAGCTTTGAACACTCAGTTTTGCCCAGATAAGTGTTGCTTTAGATTGCTGCGCATAGAGAGCACGTGCAGTTAAAAACAGAGTGATTCCAAACAGATTAAAACTGGAAAATTTACAAATTGCCTAACTTTGGTCTTATCTGGTTCATCTCTACCCCTGTAGTATACTTCTGTTTCCTGATGCACATGTTTCTATAGTCGATCAAACATAGTGTCATAGTTGGCAACTTTTTAAGTAACAGTTTGAGTCATGTCTGCTATTATTCCATTCTACTGTAGTTCTCTGGAACAAGTATTAAGCGTTAAGCCCACGATCCCAGCAACAACTAAGCATAAAAGATGAAGAAAACCTTAAAGGCAGCGTGCTAACAAATTAAAATCTTCAAGGAAAATTTCCTTTCCTGAGCGTCTGGAACATACTATAAACACACTGCTGCTACCAAAAATATCAAGTGATTCCTGGCTAATGTATTCTAAAACCTTATGCAACATATTTCATATCAATCTGCTTATTCATCTTAAACTTGAAATAAAGAAATCTGATCTTTCTTGGTTTTACTAGAAGTATTCTGGCTTAGAGGAATTTTATTTGCAAGTGTTCTTCTCGAATAAAGAGGACAGAAGTTAAGCTCTTGAGGGAAGAATCGTTTGTGGCATTTGAGACAGTCTAGAAGTTCGTTTCCTCCCGATCTTTGTCTCTTTTTTATGGCATTATTAAAAAGCAATGGTTTTTCATTAATCCTGGAATTTGGTGGAATTGATAAAGAATCTCATCCAAGGGCACATTGCTTCAGATCTCTTAGAAGATACACCCTTTCCTTTCACATGCCTCCCTGCGATATTAGGCATTTTAAAATAAGGTAACATTTACTGAAGCATATCCTATTTAAGGCAATATCAAGACACAGCAATCCTAAAAGTTGAAGTTTTAAAGGGCATAGCTTATGTAGTACTATAAATGCCAACTACGTTCATGCAAATTCGTTACGAGTTAGAGAAACTGTGAGAAATGATAAAACAAGTCTTTCATCTTGAATTGAACAGAAGTAAAACAAAATTAATTTTTGATCTGCTTCTAGATTCTTCAGACCGTTGTTCTAAACAGTGATAGGACAACTTATTTTCAGTGGAACCTGAGAAAGTTTTCCCCAATGTTAACGATCTCAGTTCACAGGAAACCTAAATTCTGCATGAAGTTCAAACTAAAACCAAAGCCACTCTTTTCACTTTCAGATAGAATACAGTCTAGCTAATACATTTAGTAGAATAGACAAGAGAAGACTTTTTACTTCTACCCCTGCACTCACCTCCCCTCCAAAAACTGCCTTTTGAGATTCCAGAAGGGCCCGTTCTTTCTTCCGCTACAAACACATATTGAAGACACCTACAGTTTTGTCATACTAGAGAACCTCAAAGCTGCTTGCTTACGTACGTTTGAGGAACCACCACAGACGAAAGATGACGCGCATCCTTCTCCCCCCATATTCTGGGTGGAGTAGGTCAGCTTCAAATAGTTCCTCAGTAGGTTTGGGGTGTTTGGGATTTTTCAATTTTGGCAGTGGGGGTGGAGAAGAGAGGGAAGGGGAATCCAGCCCTGCTGAGCAATACCCTCACCCCCACCCTGGTTCAGCTTTTCAGCCAATTAGGCCACCAGTGGGGAGTGGCTCTAAAGAGCTCCCTCCCAAGGGGCTCCATCTGGCCTGCAGCTCCATCTGGCCAGCTCACAGGCCAAAGCTCCACAAAGCAAAGCCAAGGTCCTTGCTCAGCTTTGACATGAGCAGATGAAGTTCAAGGCAGGCTGCTTGTGACTTCGGGGGACAGCAGTGAAGAAAATTCTTCCTCTGGGACAGCTTTAGAACGAGGATTTTGTAACATGCCAACTTAGAAACTCAACTGACACATTAATTCTTTAAATTTATTATGCTCTAGTATTGTAATGCATCTCACAATTCTGCATAACTGCATTATTTTATATAGCTCATTGAAAAGAGAATTACCCACCTACTTTTAAAATAGACTTTTTTCCTCTCACTCATTTCAAGAAGTTTGATTATGAATCAAGTGAGAAAACTTACGCTTCTCATACCCAGAATTAAAATAAGCACCAACTTGATGTTATGAAAGCTTCAGAAGCTGGAATTTTTTCAATTACTAAGGACAACTGCAAATTACAGACAAATATAATAACGAAAAGCTTTGTTGCTATTAGAACATTAGCACATTGAAAGTAGCACATGCATTCATAGCATACTAAAATGGCTTGCAACTAGAGACATGAGAAAGACAAGATTTTAATTTTAATAACCTTTGATTAAGCTACTAATAGGACTGAAGCATTTTAGCAACTCTCCTAGAACTACAAAAGAGGAATATTATGAAGAATGTAGTTAGCCAATCCACCTGTCTTCGCAAAGCAACAAATTTCTTGCATGTACTTAATATGAACCAACTCACAGAATTGCCCCTGAAAACTGAAGGACTGTAATATTTCCACAAAAGCACCAAATACACATTCCAAAGGGCAGCAGTTTTGCAAGTCTTCTCAGTTCTTTTGTTTTGACTAAAATTTTCCATGCGTAACAGGCAAGTGTCAATTTGATTATTTTAGAAAGTAAGTATTCCTGGGACAAATCTGACAGGAATAGTCACGGACCCGATTATCAGGTACCTGTCTTGTTCTTCATCCATATAGCTTAGCAGTTTCTCCACTTTGTTAAATAAGTGCATTTAACTAGCTTAGTCAAGTTCACTTTCAAAATAGGCCTAAAAAACGTTCTTCAAACACTCCTCTTGATAAGCAGAGCTCTCTTCACTTTGTACTGAAGAGTGCCTTATGTTAAGCTCATACTGCTCCAGCGTAATTTAACCAAGCCGGAGCTCCAGACTAAACTGTTACGAGACCCAAGAACCACTCCCTCACAGCCTCTTCTTGGTCTTCTTACTACGACTGTCAAACACATATAACCATGACAAAACGTCATCCAGATTGAAGCCTCACTCTTTGTTATACAGTTTCTCTACTGGAAGTTGAGAGCAACGTTTAGGAAGATTTTCAGCAGCAGCCAATTTTTTCTAGCCCAGAGAGTATTGAACACAGGGCTGCCTGTACTCTCTATGCTATTACAAAAAACTAATCCCATCGCATGACCTGCAGCAATTCAGTTTAACAAATCAACAATTACAAATATTTTGGCAAAGTAAGCTTAGGTATTGTTTGCCTGTCGGCACAGTTCACAACCAGTTTGTGGCTTTATGATAAAAGTCATTAAATCCAATCTGAAAAGCAGAATTTACAGCTCACTTAGCAAGTCAGGCCCATAAATGGATGCTTTCAATTACAGGGTATTTACATGCACAAATCATTAAGGCAGCATTGAATATATCTGAAAACTCTAGAACACTTTTATAATAATTAAAACTTTGCATACTGTTCTTTATATAAACAAAACTTAGAAATTCTCTTCAGTCTCAAACAGAGCTCAGATTCGTTGTTATCCTAGACCTACTACAAAGCCTGTTCTCCCAGTAACTCTGTGGGAAAGGGATTAGAGAGATAGAAACAAGTTTTGTTTTTTAAAGTCGCACTCAGTAATTGTGATTTGTGAGCTCCAGTAAACTCAATTACATCAACTAGTGCTCAACACTTCTGAAAGATCAAGTGGAACAGGAAGATGGAGGTGGACCCTGGAGGGCCTTTCATTTCGAGATTCACTGTGTAATTCAAGCTTGTTTTCTTTTGTTCATGAACCCAGCTTCTGGGTAGAAGAAAAGAAGAGATCACTTAAGAGGTCAAAACACCTCATTTTTTTCAATTGTGTTCTCTTTCTTAATGATCAAACAGAACCTCAGGAAGTTGACAACTTCTTCTCCAAGATTACATTACCCACGAGTCTAGCTTCTTCCATAAAGAAAACTGGACCTTCAAACACAGTTGTTGTTTCTGGTGACCTCCAGTGCAGTCCAAGTCTGAACCACACAATTACAAAACAACAATCCACTACAAAGTCATTCTATTAAACATCCCACTATACTGTTAGGAGAGTCTCTAAATACATATCTAAATTAAGTTTAAGCCACCTGAAATGAGATCCTCCCCTTCCTCTTTTTAAAGGCATTTATAATCAATCCTATCTTTCACTCTGACAGTGCTGAGTAAAGGGGGAGGAGGGGCAAAAGGGGCTTCAAAAACCTCCCTTTACTTATACACTCACTCCCCTCTAATTCACCGCAGCTTGTAAACGCAGACATTTTAAAGGTACCCCTCAGAAGACACGCATAAAGAACATACTCATGCACCACGCAGCTAACTGAGATAAAGCACAGGAAAGTCTAAATAGCAATCTTGTTCTAAGGGAAGCCTTTTGCCTTAACAACAAGAGTTTTTTTCCAGTCTGGAGAACAGACCAAAGCTTAATCAGTCTCTCACTACAGAGTCCAGCCCCCACAGAAACAATGTCATGAATCGGTTTGAAAGTACAGCTCTCCAGACTAAGAGTGGAACACTTAAGCATAGACAAACTTGCTGCTATGTGCAGGCTCCTAATAAGCTGTCATTGCAAACTTCTTGCTATAGATAGAATCTTACTTGTTTGTAACCATGAACTGTGGCAACATGAACTCCGCACGCAATATACGCACATTGCAGCGCTCACCAGCAGCATTTTCAGAAATATTTGTTTGGTAAACCAGCACAGTAAAACTTTTTCTCAAAGCTATCTGTGTGTTTGCAGAGTACTCGAGGACCATGCAACAGGCACATTTCCATAGTCAAAATCGGTGATGGAACAACCAAAAGACATGAGACCAGGCTGCAGTCTGAATCCCAGCTGTTCGATTCAACAGTTCTCCAGGACATCACAAGGGCTCTTCACCCACGCACTTTTTCCCTTCTTTTATTTCCCCAGACCCCCCCCCCCCCCCCCCCCCCCCGCCTCCAAAAATTGCAAACGGGAACTCTACCAGACTGCAGCAACAACAACTATCAGTATTTATCACCATATAACTTCTCCCATGTGCTTATCTAGGTAGATGAAACACTTAACAGATGACGTCTGTTTACATTTTCACAAGGCACAGATAGCTGCGGCGTTAACAAAAATAAGTGCCACGAAGGAAAACGCTAATTTCAACCCGCACACACATGCCTCGTAGAGGTAGCCCGTGCTCCACACCGACGGCTTTGGAGGAGGAGAGGGGCAGACAAAAGAGCCCCGGCCGCAACCCTTCTCCGCGAACTCGCTCCTAACTTTGTCCACCACCCTGGCGCGAAGTTGCTGCGCCCCTCACCGCTACGAGCGCAGAGAAAGCAGAAACTGAACTCTCCCCCCTCCTCCTCCACGCCGAGGCACGACCCGGCCCGTTCCTCCCCCCCCCCCC